TTAAAGGGGCCGCGGCCCGACCCGCCTCGTGCCGGCCTCCTGGAGCCGCGAAGAGTGAAGCTCTGGACCTGAGCGGCGAAGAGTGAAGCCCGGGCCCGGGGACAACTAGGTCTGTACCGACCGCAGTCCGCTCCCGCCTTCCCATCCACCAGGCCAGGGCACCAGGGTGGCAACCTTTCCCTCCCCGCACTCCGTCACACAGCCCAACCCAAACGCGAAGAAGCCACAACCCGGCTGCTGCATTTGCCTTTATTCGCTCTCAAGCTTCGGTCCTGGCTGAAACAACGCATATGGGAAAGGGATGCCACCTGGAAGTGGCAGGTGCCCGCGCCGGGGCTCCACGCCTGCAGCCAGCTGCTGCCAGCTCTCCCCCAGCAGCTGCCTCCTGCAGGGCCCCGTGCACACTCCAGACCGGAAGAAACCACCACCCTCCACCGGACCACACGCCACGGTGCTGGTCTTCTCCCAACACTCCCTCGGCCAGATCTGGGTTTGGAGAACAGGGAGACACACCGGCGCGGGGTCTGGCGCCCCTCTGTTCAGTTCGGTCTCAGAAAAGCCACGGAGGTCCCCGGGGGCTGACTCAGGAGCAACACGGACATTCTGATTCACCAGGATGGTGCCCACTGCCTTGCACCCTGGACAAACTGCCGGTTCTGGCATTTCAGACAGGAGTGCCCTTGGCCCTTTTCTTTGCCTCTTGTTTCTCGGGGTAGTCCCAGGGCTCAATGGGAACTCTCTCCAGATTCAGCACGGGCTCCTCGGTGCTGGGGTCCCCATTCTTCTGTCGCTCAGCCAGAATCATGGCCCGGAGCAGCGGCGGGTAGGGCACGGAGCGCAGGGTGTCCTCCGGCACCGGCGTGAAAGCGGTGAAGGCCGCCTCCTCGTGCTTGGGCACCAGCCGCCAGTCGTGGTACATGGTGTGTTCGATCTCCCGGGCCTCACTCTCCGTCTTTCCTGGGGAGAGAAGGGCGGGGGTGTATTGCACACACTTGCGGAACCGTCTGTTGCCAGCAGCCACCCTAGCCGGCCATGACGCCTTACCTTTGAAGGTCAGGATGCCCCAGGCCTTGCCATAGTCCAGGTTCTGGAAAGCAAACAGGGAGGGGTCAGCTCACCAAGCTCTCTCGCCCCCAGATAGCAACACGCAACGCCGTGTGAGGGAAACGGTGCTGCCCCGCGACGCTCAGGAGCCGGAAGGTGAGGGCGGGCACACGCACCTGCGCCGTGTAGTCCGGCCGGACACGCGTGAGGCGCCAGTAGCACGGCTCGTCGTGCTGCCACAGCCAGGACTTGCGCGTGACCAGGCGCCCCAGGCCGAAGAACGGGAGGCGGCCGAGCAGCTGCAGGAATTCTGAATTTG